GCAAGAGCTCCCAGACTGAGCAGAGGCCAGCAGAGCCACTGGGGAAGGACAAGGAGTTGGCAGAGGGGAGCTTGGACACTGACATGGGGATGGGTGATGCCTCTGCCATGACCAGGATACCCCTCATAGCCGAGGATCACTCCCAAGTTGTCCCTTCCTATTGCTGCACATGCCTTGGTTCAGCCCAGAGAGCTGTTGGGTGCCAGAGCAGAGACACTCCCAGGCTTTCTCCAAACTCGTTTCCACCCAGCTGAGGGAAGGCACCCCCTCTGAATGGAGGTCTCAGTTTCCAGCCCTCAACTCCTCGCTCCCACCTCCCATCTCACCCCCCACCGAAGCCAGAGGAGAGGGCAGGAAAGCACCAACGGCTGTGGATCCGGTTACCTGCGGCCAACAAAACCTACCTGTCCCTTCCCAGCCACTTCCCCCGCCCCCTCTCCAGGGGAGACAGACCAGAAGGACCCCCCTGGCCCTCCCTGAGCATCGCTGGGTCGCTGCCCGCCGTGATCGAGTGACCAGATGGACTGTGGGCTCACACCGCAGCCTCCTCTGTGGGTCCCTTGTCCCCCCCTGAGCCGTCTGAGCTTTGACGCTCTGTCCCCCCGGGGCAGCCTTTGTCAGGGGTGTGCAGAAGGGCCCCTGTGTCCCTCTGATCCCCGCCGGCCCCACGGCAGCGCGTCCCCGGCCGGAGCATAAAGCTGGCTTTCAGGGACCCGGCTTTGGGAAACTCCCGGGGAAGAAGCAAGGGAGCTTCTTGTTAAACGAGGAGACAAAGCCACCTTGTTAAGGGGTTTACAAAGGCGACCATCTCCCCCCTTGCCTGGGAAGCTCACAACCGGCGACTCCCAACCTCACCGGGGGGATGGCTTTCCCTTTGGAAAGATTGGGAACATTTAATAACCGTGCTGTGCCGCAGCCCTCTGACCCATGTGCAGGGCCCAGGGCACCTTCCCCGCTCCCAGGAACTGCTCGGAGCCACATCTCCAGAGGAAAATGGGAACCAAATGCTCATTATGGGGAATCCCGAGGTTTTCCTGTGGGTGCACCATTGCTACCAGTGTCCCTGCTGAGGGGACAACATCCTTGGTGCCCTGGCCCAGGGACAACCACCTGCATGAAATGACATGACACTGGGTAGCAAAAGAGGAGTTTCTGCCCCGCCTTTGGGAGAGGTGGGCTGGGGTCTCCTCCCACACACCACACAGGTGGGAGATGGGACCCCAGGAAGGGATGTGAGGGGGACCACAGGACACAAGACCTCCCTGCTTCCTTCCTGCAAAACATCATTCCTTCTCCTTGCATGGACCCAGTCATCCATTTCTTTGCCCAACAAAATAAAGTTTAAGCAAAAACCCAGCAGCTCCACAGCTGCTTTGTCACTCTGGGAATTTTCTTTGGAGACCCATCTATTCTTATTATCTTTTGCAGGAAAAATCCCTGCCCCAAACAAAGTTAGCACAATCTTTGGCTTGACTCTTGTGCATCTGAGTCTCTGATGGTGACTCAGCCTCTGATGGGCCCCCTCCAGGTCCCTGGGCTCCTCATTTTACAGCCCACATCTGGGGGCTGCACACACCCTGACCACGTCTGAGCCCCTGGGTTGCTCAAACCTGTGCACTGTTCTGAGTTGTTCTTGGCAATCCACACTAAAATCCATGTGCATATTAAACCTTAAAACAGGCAATTACATCTACCTCCACCTCCAGATAAACGGGAACATTGATTTTGCCATAGGGATGCAGCAGCCAGAGCTGGCTGGGCAGCTTAAAAAAACAGGACCACCTGGGCCCAGAGCCCATCTGGGTGTGACAGACAGCTGGGCAGGGGAATGGGAGACCTGGCTCTGCTAGCAATCCATAGGGATGGGCAAAACAGGACAAGTTCCAGGTGGGGAGCCCCACCAGGTAGCAAAAGCATTGCCAGAGGAGCCAAATTAACAGCAAGGAGCTGTCACCCCTGCTTTTCCCTGGGGCATGTGCCTGCTTCCCACCCACACTTGCAGGTGGCACTTTGGGGGTCCACATCCCTCCTGGCATCATCCCCACATCCTCCTCCTCCTCTCTCTGGGGAAATGCCACCTGTGGAGTCACCTTCTCTGAGCCAGGAGACATGAGCTGTGTGGTGCCACCTGGGGTGCCAGTCCTTCACTGGGAAGCCCTGGACGTGGCTCTATACCCCGCAGGGCCAGGCTGGAGGCAACTCTCCCTCACTGGGACAGCAGTAAATTGGACTGCTGCAGCTTTAAAGAAGAGTGTGTGCTCCTGGGCTGGCTGCAGGGCTGGTGGCAGCGGGGAGAGCCGGAGGACACCTGCGGAGATCCTGTACAGCTGGGGAAGATTAGCCTTTTCCACTAGACAAGACCCATTACCATGTTCCAATATACCATCACTTCCGCTAGGAGAGCCTGCAGATGAGATATCGATTGCGGTGACCCCGGACAAGCCCTTCCCCAGAGCCTGGGAGAGTGGCAGAGCGGCCCCAAGGCATGGCCTGCTGTGCAAAGAGGGGGTGCAGCCTCCCAAGGGCATCCTCAGGGACCCCCAGACCCAGGGCACCAAGGGGCTGCCTGGAGCTTGGATGATGTGTAGGGGAACATGCAGAAGAACTTCAAAGTGCAGCAGCGACCCAAGTCTCTTCCCACAGTCCCTCTGGGCTCTTCCCAGGGCAGCGCTGCCCCAGGAATAGAGAGTCTCCAGCCCATGTTCACGGCCCTTACACAGCCAGGTGGGCATTGCAGAAACAAGCCTGTCACTGTGAAAGCCCAAAATGCCTCTGCTGGGGCGTTCCAGGTGGTTCAGGAGCTGCTCACGCTGTGCCAATTGCCCACTGCTTTTCCCTCCAGGCAGCTCCAGCCCCTGGAATACCTTCCTAAAACACACAAGGGGTAGGTGGAAGGACTGTGGGAAATTGCAAAGGGGACAGTGAGAAACCACCAAATCATGGGAACTGGAAAGGTTGGTAGCAATTAAAGTAGTAAACTAATTAAACATGTTGTGTGTGGCTCACAGTGCCCTATCACTGCAGTCCCTGGTGCTGCACCAAGGGAAAGGGCAGGCACGTGGTGGGTCTCATCTGTCCTGTGACTCCATGATTTTTGGGGAGGATTTTTCCTTCTGCAAGACTCACGCTGGGTTGGACTTGGCTTTTTGAATACCCTGAGCTCTGCCTTACCCACATGATCCGCTTGCAGCCCAGTTGGAAGCAGCAGCTGGAAGCCAACACATGCTGCTCCTCCAAGGCTGACCACAGTCACATCCACCACTGCCTCAGAGAGCCAGCCCTGTGCTTCCTGAGGAGCTGGAGCTGCCGTGGCACACAACATCCTCTACCCTCAGCCAAACACTTCACTGGATGCCCCAGCAGGTGCAGCAAGAACACCCTCGGATCTGTGCTCCAAAGGACTGTGTCACTGGAATACTGGAGGATATTCAAGTTAAATGGCTTTTTCCAGCTGATAATTTAAGCATCCAGGGGAGAGGTGGCCCAGCTGAGCCCTCCCAGAGAACATCCAGCATTTCTCAAGGTTTGGGGCACAAGAAACTTCTGCTGAAGCACTTTTTTCTGTTGTTGCTGTTTTGTTTGGGGGTTTTTTCCCTCCCAAAAATATATCAGCTCTTCATTGCACTGAATCCTTTCAAACTCCACTTTTTCAGTGGAGAACTCTGCCATGGACAAGAATGGGCACAGGAGGGAATGCTCACAGCTCACAGGGCTACACGTTGTCCCACAGGCCAGCACAGCATCTGTCCCTGGCATGCAGGACAGAAGCTGCTCTGTTCCCATCCTTTTGTGGATGATGCCACCAGGAGATGGTTTCTGATGAGGTTCCAAGCCCTTTTCCCCATTTGGGAGAGGGCTGGTGTGGGAGGAATAAAGCTGGTTCAACACTGAGCACCCCACTGGGGGGGCTGGTCAGCACAACCCCCAGGACCCCCACGTGCACCTGCACCTTCAGCATGGACTTGCTGCTGAAAGTAGGGAATGGGGCACCCCTGCACAGCCTCCCCCCTTCCCTGCAGCCCACGGGGGTCAGACAGGCTCCACCAGCCCAGAAAACCATTTCTCTCCCCTCTCCTGACAGCCCTCTGCTGCTTTCTCCTCTAAAGATGGTCGCTGCCAGTAATAGCAGGGAAAGTCACATCCAAGCTGGGAAAATAACATGTTATTTTCCCAGCTGTGATGTCAGAGCTTGTCACACTTGCTGGTTCTGCAGCAGGGAGGGCAGGGCACGCCTGGACGTCCCCAAATGGCCACTGGGCCTGGCTGTCCCCTGGGGGCTGCAAAAAACATGCCCCTTTTTGGTGGCAGCTCTGCTTTTGCTCCCCAAATGCATTGGAAAGCAGCACGTCCCTGCTGCTGGAATGTGGCTGCCCAGAGCCCCACAGTCCTGCCAGGCACTGCAGGACACAGCACGGTGGGTGCATTGCTCCCAGTCCCACAGGGCATCTCTGCTCCTGTCCCGGGGACACCCACTGTGGGGACACCCCAAACCGGGTCCTTCCCCACCCTCAGCAGCATGGACCAGCAGCACATCCTGGATGTTTGCATGAGCTAGAAAATCCAGTCCTTTCCTTTCCCCTTTCCTTTCACCACAGTTTTGGGTTTCCCTCACTGAGCCATCCCTGCATCTCAGCCAAGTGCTGCATCCTGAGCATCGGGAACAGAGGGATCCGGAGCAAGCATTTGTTTCCTCCTCACCTCTTGCAACACCATAAAAGGATATTTTTGCCGGTTTTGCCTTTCCTAGATCTGCTCTTAGAACTCACTCAAACACAGCCAAAAGGGTCAAATCCCCTTAACCCATCCCTGCCCTCCAGCTCACCCCTCCATCCCAGCATCGTGCCGGGCAACGTCCCCCTCTCCCCACCTTCACCACAAGGTACCACCAACCCCCCACGTCCTTCGCAGGCACTTAATCCATTACCAACTTCACAAAGCCGGGCCGGGGGAAGCGCCGGGCCAGAGGAGCAAACAAACGAGGCAGGAATAAAGCCCGGCTCTCAGTGCCGGACCCGCGCATGGCTGGGGGTTTATTTCTTTCCCCACTTCTCCTCCGATGGACGAAACCCTTTTTTTCCCCCCTCCCGATTGCATTTCACTTGCCGCCCCATAACAAAGCCGTCACCTCCGCCGCGGCTCCGCTCCGGAGAGACGAGTTACAATTACAAATTGCCACCACAATTAGTGCTACTTCTTAGAGAAATTAGAAAGGGGAGAGGAAGGCTCGCGTGCGATTGATTGCTATTCATCCTGCTTTACGGTGACCTTGCTCTGGAGACGATGATATTCCTTCAGCCTGGAAACAGGGATTTAAAAAAAAAAAAAAATTAATTGTAAATTAACAGTAATAACACACATTTCCTTTCAATTAATTTAAGCAGAATGAGGGGGCGTGAAGAGCAGGCGTTTGTTAAGGTCTGTACAGTTTAATTATTTCCCCCCCACCCACGAGATAATGTAATTAATTTATCTTAGAGGAGTAGGGGGACATCGAGGATGGGGGAGAACAAAGCAGTTAACAGGCAATGGAAAAATTAAGAGCCCATTATGTAAATGTAGCGTGTTTTACAGCTCTAGAGTTGGGGGGGGTGTCTGAGAAATAAGTAAAATAGTGAGGCTGGCTGTGCTGGGGAAGGCTGTAATTAAGCAGGGCTGGTGCTGGGGGAGGCTGGTGGCACCCCACTGCTCAAGGGGAGCTCGGGGGGGCCTTGGTGCACCCCCAGAGCCTGAATGGGGAAGGGGAAAGGTGCTGGGGGCTTCCCCCACACACACATTGAGGAGGGTCCCTCTCTGCCCCACAGACCTCAGTGAGTTGATGTTGATGAAGCCGGTGGCGTCGGCGGGCTCGTAGTCCCCTTGCACGTTCATGCTGTGGAGAGAAAGGCACAGTGGGAGGGGATTCCTAGGGGGAAACACGGCTGCCCTTTGGGAAGGGAGAATTGTGGGTGACCCCTGAGCTGGCTGCTCCCACAGGCTGGTGCTGCTGCTGCCCCTCATCCACTGCAGGTGGGTGTGGGGGGCTTGGGGCAGGGTCCAAGCCAGCCCTGGGGAAGGGGCACATGGCTCAGGAGCAGCAGAGCCATAGGACCACCCTGGTGGCCATTCCCAGGTTCCCCAGGCCCTGCTAGAGACACAGCCCCAAATTCCTTATGCAGTCCTTCATGTACATCATCACCCTTCCTCCTCGTGCTCTGGAACCGAGCAGGGATGCTCGCCCTGTCTCGGAGCCATGCCCCAGGTATGCCTGTCCTGTGGCAGGCAGGGCATTGCCCTAGAAAGGGAATGGAATCCTGGGCAGGAGACACTGCCCTCAGCATGGAACAGGGTCCCAGGCAGGGACATCTCCAGCACCAAAGTGAGGTTTATGGCTGTGGCAGCCAGTGCCTTGGTGCGACACCAAGCACATCTCCCTCCCCAGAGCAGCAGCCACCCACTGAATCCCAACCCCAATGGTCTCCTACATCCCCAAAACACACGGCTCATTTCCCAGAAACCGCAAACCTGAAAGAAGGAAGTGGAGGGAAATAAAGAAGAAAAAAAAAAAAAAGAGTTTACAACGATTTTACCTCCCCTGACGGGCTACAGAAAAACCTCTGTGCTTTTATTTTTGCTCATTCGAGTGGTTCTGACCTGCTCTATAATTACGTTACTTTCTACCTACTGTGCAGAGGCATTTCCACACAGCTCTGCCTCTCACAGCTTTCTCTCGGGTTCCTGTGACGCCGTCACTCAAAGGCTTTCAAACCAGCGATGTAGAAATCAAAAAGAAAAGGAAAATGGTTGGAGACGCAGGGAGAATAAGTGCCCCTGCTTTTCTCTCCCTCTCTCTTTTTCCTCTGTCCCACCCCCCTCCATCCTCCCTTTTTTTCTTCCCTCTTTTTTTTTAATATTTTTTTTTTAATACTTTATTCATTTAATCTCTCCAAGTGAGAGTGCGAAGCATAATGAAGGGTTGGGATGGATTATTAGGAGCTGTTGATTTTGAGGGGGAGGGAAAGGGGGAAAAAAAAGCCGGAGAAGAGAAAGAGAGAAGATAATTTGACATTTACTCCGACTGATCTAAACTCATTCGGGTGTATTTATGGCTTATAAAGTGTTTAGAGAGATTGAAAGGGGTTGAGGGAGGGCTGAGGGGGGAGCGAGCGAGAGAGAAAACAACACGGAGAAAAGGGAAAAGCCAGAGGGGGAAAAAATTAATATTGACTTAAAAACATGGCTCGTGCTTCAGCCGGATGCTGGGCCCAGAGGATGGCGTCACTGGGAATGGGATGGGATGTGGCAGGATGGGATGCAACAAGGCGGGATGCGACAGGATGGGATGGGATTCTCGCTGCCACCAGCCCTGCCCACCCTGGGCCCCCAAAGCCCCACTCACCTCACCAGCTCCTCGTTGTACAGCGACCGTGGGGACTCCCTGCCCAGGATGTAGACCTGGCCCTTGAAGACAGACAGACGGACGGTGCCCACCACGGGCTCCTGCGAGTGCTCGATGCAGTGCCGGAGGAACTCACACTCGGGGCTGTGCCAGAACCCTGTGGGCAGGAGGCAGGGTCAGAGTGGGAATGGGGCAGGCTGGAGTGCCCTGCAGTGCCCATGGTGGTCCCCAGGCTAAGTCCTGCGAGGCAGACCCTGGGTAATTTCCACAGGAAGGGATGGGAGAGGGCAATGCTGAGCTGGGACATCCACGTTCAGCTCTGAGAGAGAGAACCTCACGTGTGTCCCTTCCCATTGGCGGCCCTTGGGATCCCCCTGGGAGAAGAGGCCAGAACGAGCTGGTAGAGAAGAGGCCACCACGGGACCATTCTCCTTCCATCAGGGTTGATCATGGAAATTAAGAGATTTGTTAAGTAGGTATGAAACTGTCACTCAAAACCTACCATCTTGGGAGGGTCAGGTGGAGACAGCAGCCCTCCAACACCCCCCCAAGCCCTCTGAGTCCAGACAGCGAGTGCACCACAGCCCCCCAAAACACATCCTGTGGGCACAGCCGTTGGCATGGCCAGCCACAGAGGCCACCACAGTGCATGGAGGGGCTGTGGTCCTGCCTGCCAACCCCCATGCCCCTTCTGGCTCTAAGCAGGGTAATTAGCCGGGAAGCCCTTGGAGACCTGGAACAAAGCCTGGGAGATGTAGAAGGAGATAGAGGTGGAGAGAGAAAGAGCCCATTCACAGCCCTCCGGTCATCCCCAGGTTTTATCTCTCCCATCTCACTCCCTGCTCGAACACCGGTGCCCTCTCACCTTTCCCTTCCCAGCTGGGCTCCGGGGCTGAAGCCATTAAAGAAACAAACAATTTCTTTTGTTGTTTGGCCTCGCCAGCCCCTGAGTGGGGCCGTATCCTGCAGCCTCGTCCCTGGGGTCTGTGTGGCCCCACTCCAAGACACAGCACCACAGCCCTGCAGCCCCTCACCCCTGAAAACACCTCCTTGAACAGACTGCCCTCAGCTGCCCCACCACAGCACAGCTGAGGGGCTTGGGGACCCCCTTCCCTGCAACCAGCACTGCCACGCCGGCATGAACTCCAGCTCCAGGCCAATAAACCCCTGGTTTTGGTAACCACCCTCCAGGTACAACTCTTCTAATATCGGGATTGATGCAGGGCTGCTGCATCCCTGTAAAAATAAACCCCAGACACATTAAAACAATAACCAACTGCTTAAATCCTGACTCTTGACAGCTCCAGGTGGGAGGAAGCATCCCCCCCATCCTTACCCCCCCACCGCAGACACTGGAAGCGATCCCCCTTAACGACCTTCCCACCATCCTGCCCTAATCACCTCGTGGGCAGGGGGACAATGGCATTTCCGCACCTGGATGTACCTGCCGGGATGGAACCGTCTTCAAAGCCACCCCTCTACAATGGGATCAATGGGAAACAGCGGAAGGTAAACACTAATTCCCCTAAAAACATGGACTGGCTGCAATAATGAAGTGTTAAAGGAAGGTGAGCTCGAAAACCTGGCCTCCGGCATGGGGATCCAGGGGTGCTGTTGGGGTTGTTCCTTGGATTCAGGATTGGCTGCCAGGTAAGTCTAGGACCATGCTGGAAATCCCTGAGGGTTCAGCATTTGGAACAAGGAAAACAGCAGCCCTTGCCTGGCAGAGGTAGGGAGGGAGAAGCGAAACCACGACTCCCTGAGTGGCTCTTTAACCTGGTGGCTGCACAACAACTGAGTGGTTAGAAATAAACAAATGGGTTTATGCCTGAACTAAAAAAAAAAATAGTCAAAATAAAGGCAGCCCAGGTCAAAGTCTAACAAAAGTGGCCAGAGACAGGAGTGGCATCAGAGTGTAAATGAAGGCAGGGGTTGTGATCTAAGGGAAAGGTAACCAAGACTTCTGCAGCCCCTGCAGGGCCCTAAAATATGATTTAAGCAGCAAAGGGGCTCAGATATTAAATGCCAGTTGCTGAGGAAGATGCAGGAGGGAACGGCCTTAGAGGGGAAGGTGACAAGCACAGGGACCAGAAAGTGCAGGGGAAACAGCCTGACCCAGTCCTGCTGCATCTGCTGCTGCCCAAAGCCCAAGCTCCAGTCAGGTTATTTACGGGGGATCTTCCCATGAAAGATCCCATGGGAATCATCCCAGCCCCTTGCAGTTAGAAATACCTGAGAAGTGATGGGAGGAGGAACTGAGAGCCCAAGAAATCAGGACCTATGAAAGTGTTGTGTGGATGAGGGCAGGAATCTCTCCAGTGTTGGGTCTCCAGGGATGTCAGTTCTGAGCTGAGCACCCAGGTATGGGCAGTAGGGGTTTGAGTCCACCTGTGGCATTTTGGGCTAATCCCACTTCCTTCAATTTATCAACAGTGTCTGGGTTGGGGTAAATCCAGAGATCAATCCCCAGGGCAGTGATGATTCCCTTCCCAGGGTGCCATTCCCAGCCCTGGCAGGCTCCTGGCCCAGCGAGCTGTTCCCTGCAGCACAGGGGGGCTGAGCTGAGACCCCTCAAACTCAACCCACGAGTGGGAGCTGCGGCTGCTCCACAGGAGGGAGGACACAGAGCTTCATTTCTGTCCCTCACTGCAGGGGTGAGCCAGTGTCCCCTTATCCCTTCAGGCTCCCAGCCCTCTCCAGGCAGTGCTGTCCTGGTCCAGACTGGGAGCCCCTCCTGCAGCCCCAACCCGCAGTGCCCCTGTGTGGGCTGTGCATCACATAGCACAGCCCAGACCCTCCATCCCACAGCCCCCAGCACCTCGAGGGGCGCCTGTGCCACACCCCCCTGCCAGGGCATGGGAACAGGTGTCTGGCTTCAAATCCCATGGCAGGGATGGCCATACTGGGAGCTTGGGTGCCCCATACCCCAGAGTGTTTGAGTCCTTTTGGGGTGAGAGCAGGCAGAGATGGAACGGGTTGGAGGTGAGAGCTGGAGAAAGGGGGGACAAAGGGATGGTGAACTACATCCCGTGAGACATCCAAATGTGTTTGGTGGGACAAAGTGGTGGCACTGGGTTGGGAGAGATGCTGGGAGCATCACCTCATGGAAGACAGCATTGCCTCCCAAAGGCAGGCACGGAGCTCCCTCGGCAGGAAAGCAGGCACAGTGTGGGACTGAGCTCAGCCCAAACCCATCTCTTCCCCCAATGAGTAGCCTCAAAATCCACACCTGAATTTTACAACCCTGAGCGCACGTACTGGTGGGACCTGCAACCTCCGGCAGCACCAAGGGAGGAGGAGGAAGGCTGGGAGGAGGCCGCAGTGGCAGGTCCAGGCTGAAGGACCATACATACCGTTGTACACCAGCTCGGAGAATTTCAAGGCGAGCCCCTGCTTGATTTTCCGCACTTCCCGGTCCATGGTGAAGGCCTCGATATCTAAATGCGCGTGGTGTAGGATCGTTCCCGCTGGGGTCTCATAGATACCTACCCATTTTTCCAGGCAGGGGGAAAAGCAGAAAAAGAGAGAGAAACGAATGAGACCAAAACTGTCAGCAAATGACAAAAAATAATGACTTGGCTGACAGAAGGAGCCGTGGTCGAGCGCATTCAGCCTCAGCTCGCTGTAAAATGCATCTGTCATTATATTCATGCTGGGGCCGAGACAGTCCACTCCGCACCTTGCGGAGAAAATTTCTAGATTCCCCTCTTTGAAGAGGCACTCTGACGAGGCTAAATGACAGGGTTTGGGAACCGATCCCCCCCACCCATCCGTGCCCAACGGTCTGCGGCTGAAAACCTGTAATTAGCGGAACGACGCGGGGCACAGGCACGGGGAGCGCAGGGCCTGAAGTACCCTCCTCTCCCCTCAGCTGGCGAGAAAGAGCCCCACACGTCCACTGGGAAGCAATGAGGCTACCTGGGGGCTGGGAGGGAAACCTCCTCTGGGGCTGGCAGGGCCCCCCCAGTCCCTTCCTGCTGCCCCCCCCCCCCTTTTCCCTCAATGCACAAGGCCTGGGGATGAAGGATGCTTAATTGTTTCAGAAAGCTGCTCCTTTGTTCCAGCTGTTCAGGGCTTGTTTTCTGCATAATGTGGTTACTTGGAGTTTAAATAGGGTTGTGGCCATGCAGTGCTCCCGTCCTGGTCAGATGTGAGTGGAAAGGTGGTGGGGGAAACACTGAGTTGGTCCAGCAGGGAACACGTGTTGGGAAAGGCTGTAACCTGTCCATGGCCAGGGCTGCTCCATCAGCATGTCCTTGCCCCTTGTCTGCCTGTGGGGATGGTCCCTTCCCAACACCAGGCAGCTGCTATGGCATGGGAATGGGAATGGCAGAGGGTTTTGCTGACACACAAAGAAACCCTGTAAGAAAGCATCCCCAGTGAGGGGGATGTGTCCTCAACCAGCCCTAGCCCTGAGAGAGGGTGAGGGGAGCCCCCAGGGCAAAAAACCTCACCAGGCTCTGCTCTTTCAGTGCCCTGGAGAGTGCCACAGGCACATGACCCATCTCAGAGTGGCCACAGTCCCACAGACACAACAGGAGCCCTCTTTGCATGGCAGCCCAAGCCATTTCCATCAAACCTCATCCCAACCAGTGTCCATGATTCCAGCATCCTACAGGCACAGAACATGATCCCACTGTCCCAAACGAGAGCCAATCCCTCCTCTCCAGCCACTCCAGTGATGTTGTAGCCTAGTCCTGACAGGGCTGTGGGAGCAGACAGCCAAGTTAACACCAAACCCCAGCTGTCCCCATGGCTATGGTGGTGGCACAGGAGCACAGAGCTCTATGTCCCCTCCAGCCCCTGACCATGGAGTGGAGCCCACCACTAACACAATTAATACTCCCTCTTTTCCCCTTAGGAGGTGTTAAAGCCAATTTGGGCTCATGATTTGTGTATGTGCCTTGACCTCCACATTCTGCCCATCTGTGGGTCCTAGAGGATGGGGGACCAGAGTGTGTCAGCCAGGACAGAGGGGAGGGCAGCTGACAGCCACGCTCCAGCCTCACCGCTGCTGAGGAGATAAGAGACACCTTCAAAGTGACACTGGCAGCATCTCCAAGTGTCTGTTTTCATCTCTCCGTGTTTACAGGAAAAAGACAGAGGTGTCAGCACTGCAGCCCAGTGATGCTTCAATCACCCCATAATTACTGCTGGGGAAGGGGGGACTGGAGCAGGGGGGGGGACATGGAGGGAAGCAGCCAAGGAGACAGCTGCTGCTACTTAAAATTTTCTAATTTGTAACCTTGGCTGTCACTTCACCTCCATCCGAGCAATTTTGCTGTGCTGAGTGCAGGCTGTCACTCCCGACGTCATTCATGGGACAGGAGGGGAAGCAGTGACTTCCCCAGGGAGAATGCTGCCCTTTGGGAAAATACTGCCCAAATTTCTACCCCTGGTCCAGGGCCGAGGCCAAGCTCGGCCTGATATGTGTTCATTGCAGGGAAGGGGTTTTCCACTTTCCTGCTCCATCTGCTCAGTGCGTCGACTGGAGGAAAGGGAAAAGGAAGGAGAGAGCCAAGGGGAGGAAAAGCCCCAGCCAAAGGCAGCACTCAGCTTTTGGCAGCGACCATCCCCTCCTTCTCACTTCCTCCCCACTGATTTCATTTACTTCACTTAATTAGCCCCCCTTCGGAGTTAAAAAGATAATTGGATAATGAGGATGTGAAAAGGCGGGAGAGGCAGGGCCGTGCTCCCACCGCAGCCCAGAGCCCCCCCGGCAGGGCTGTGCCCCCCCCCAGCCGGCTGCAGCTCCACTCCCTGGCACCCCATAATTAGCCACCTCCTCCCACTAAAACAAATATGGCAAAACCGAGTTAATAGGGCTTAAAAGGCTGGTGCGGGTGCGTGCCACGTGCCCCTCACCCATTAGGCCTTAACGAAGTTCAATTAGGAGCTTAGTAAAAAAAATCAATGCAAATGAATTTTTCTCCTCTCCGACTCCTCGGGTCTGGGAGATGAGGGAGAGGAGGCACCTTCACTGCCACCTGCACAGCATGGAGGGATCAGTTCCTGCTGTTGACTGTGCCTCAGTTTCCCCAGCAGAGCCGAGGTCCCTGTGCTGCCCCAAGGAACCTGCAGAACCCTGAGTCAGCAGGGTCACCTCACACCACTGGGATTTGAGGGATCATCTCCTCCAAACCCAGCTGCCATCTCCTGCATCGCTGACCCTAAGCCCATTTGGGGTCCAAAATACTCCTGGCAGGGGGGAGGTGGGGTCACCTCGAGCTGCCCTGCACCCCAAAACCCCCCAGGGTGGGGCAGGTACCCCCAGCATCCTCCTGTTCCAGCCCCTTCACGTCCCAGCTCTCCATCTCTCCCAGAGGACATCTGTTGGAGCAGATTTCTCAGGGCTTTTTCTTAATCCCAAGAAACAAAACCAGGGGCAGGATCCTGCTCAAAGCAAGTGGGGGACCCCCCCCCAAGGTCTTGTCTCCACAGAAAGCCCACCCCAAGGTCTCATCCCCACGGTGCACACCCTGCTGTCCCCACAATGCCCGGTCCTGCCGCGTCCGCCGGCGCACAAACACCACAGCGATCGCTCAGCAATGTCATGCAGCAGACAGACATGACAGTTAAATGGGGTTTAGAGAAATTATTAAATGCTGGAAGGGTCACTAGAGCGTGTCAGTGGCTCTTAAAAAAAAATAAAATAGATTTTGACAAATTACTCAGCATCCTGAATGCAAATGCGCCGGCTGGCGTGCGCGGGTCAGAGTTGGGGCTTTTTCTTTCTTCTTTCTGTTTTAATTTGATTATTCAAACCCAGATCAAATGATTTGGGGTTTTGTTTCTTGCCTTTTGCGGTGGATGCTCTTGTGAAGGGTCCTGTGGTGGGGAGGGAGAACTTGGGCTGAGTCTAACCAAAATATTTTCTGTTGCCCTGCACAGAGGGCAAGTTTAAAGAAAGGGAGCATCTAATTAGGTATTAATGAGATTTAAAATAAAAGACTGGGGACAAGGAGATGGGAAATGAAGCTGAGCCACCTTGTTACTTAGTTCTGCACAGGGTAGCTTGCTGCCTCCAGAGGTTTCCAATGGAATTGATCCCAATGGATGATCAATACTAAGAGTCACGGCCTCCAAAATGTGTAGATAAATCAAAGAACTCGATTTAAAAAAACCCTCAGCGACTTACATCAGCCTCCTGTGTTTTGTACCGGTATTACAGAGCCTGGCACCCTCCAGGAGCATCCTCCTACCAAACCCACAGCCTGGTGTTTTTCCCCCTGGAGATGGGTCTCACCTGGTGGCACTGGGACCGCAGGGCTGGCACAAACAGTGGCACCGGCAGCGAGCGGGCAGCTGCCATCATTAGAGAGCAATGAAAAATCTCTGTCACAGGGAAATCTCCATCAAGAGCTGATGGGGAGGGAGAGGTTGAGGGCTGCTGGGGTGACCCGAGCCACCTCCCTCCCGGGGGTTTCCCTTTTTTTTTGCTGTTTTTAGGGCAGGGATGGCTCCGCAGGCTCACCTCTGGACTTCATCCCGACGAAGCGATTCTCCACGATGTCGATGCGCCCGACCCCGTGCTTGCCCCTGTGAGGAGAAGGGAGGTTGCAGCAGCCCCATCCCCACAGTGGGACACAGGCAGCTGTGAGAGGTGGATCAGAGGGGTGGACAGTAGGGGACAAACCCCAAGTGACAGCATGATCAGCTCCTGAGCAGCACTGGTGACCATCGGTAGTGACCTGAGGCCAGCAGCACCACAGGCAGCCATGGCGCTTGGGCCACTGGAAAATAAACCAGGGAAGGAGACAGGACATGCCACAGCTCTATTCTCAACAGCCAAAGTAATTTTAAAACCACTCAATTACATTTAAAAAACGAACTACATGGAGAAGTTCATTCCCATTCACCACCAGGGGGATAAAGGCAGAGGCATGGAGGAGGATTGAGGGGGCCAGATGGCACTTAGGAAGAGCAGGTGCCCTCCTGGGTGCTGCTGTATTTTTGGGCAAACCCCTGGGGATGGTTCTGTGCCAGTGGCATCAGAAATTGGGCATGAGGTGGCACAGGGCAGGAAACCCCAAAGGAGCTGCTGCTGTGGAGGCGGGGAGAGGACAGGGCTGTGGACCCACACGGTACATCTCCATGCCCCCAAAAAGCCAACTGTCCACCCAAAAGGCACACTGAGCCCCTTTGGGCAGGCAGGGTGAGGTGAGATGTGGGAGCTGGGGGTCTGAGACTGAGCTGGGACCAGCAGCAAAGGGGTGTCCTGCAGGCAGGGGGTGCCCCGGGGGCTCAGCCTCTATAGTGGGCAGGGCAGCCCTCACCCAGTGTGCAGCTGGGGCACATGGAAAATGCAGAGGGGGTTCAGAGGACATTTTAACCCTCCTCATGCACCTGGGGCATTTATTCCCTTGTGTTCCTGGCCTTGGTACCCAGCTCTGCTTGCTGGCATTTAGGGACAACTAGGACTCAGCTGGGACCATCCCATGCTCACACTGCTGACCACCATCCCTGGGCTCATCAGGACGTGCCTGCTGTGAGCATCCTGTTTCCACCCCACCCTGGGTACCCTGGGGTTCTGCCCTTGTCCCTGCTGCCAAGGGACAGGGTGGCACTCACGCGATGTCGTTCAGGTACACGAAGAGCTCCAGGGCCGAGGAACGAGTGGCTCCATCCCCAATGTTGGTGACCTTCACTGGGACACCTGCAGAGGCGGGGAGCGAGGACAGGCAGGATCAGCTGGTGTCAGGATCCCCCCGGAACATCATCCCACGGGCGTTAAATAGATGTGACAGATATGAACTCTAAATAACTTCTTAAAAAGGCATATCCAAGCTGGTGCGAGGGGGAGGCGAGGGGAGGGGGGACCCACCTCGGGAGAGAGGCGAAATAAATAAATAAAAAAAGGCCATAAAAACGTCACCCCCCCCCTTTTCCCCTCTCTTTTCCCTCTCTCTTTTTTAGGGCCTGTGAAATTGCAACCAGGCCCTTAACTAATTGAATTTCACGCTCCGCAATTGTCTTACAGCCCAGCACCTTCTGTCCCACCAGCCCCTGCCGGGGAGGGGGGGACACGGTGACAAATGTGTGCCCCCCCCCCCTCCCTCCCTCGCCAGCACGGGGGGCGTCTGGGGGGGGGGACGGACCCCCACACCGGGGCACGGCTGCTCGCACACGCACGCACACGCACCCCGCGGCGGGGTGCTCCCCGCCATGAATTAATTATTGCACCTTTTCTTCCCCCCCCCCCCCCTTTTTTTTTTTTCCCCCCTTTTTTTTTTTTTTTGGGGCGCCGCGCAGGGGAAACGCCGGGAGGGAGGGAGGGTGGGGGGGGAATGCTGAATAGAAAGAGGCATTTTTCTTTAGCGGTGTGAAATGAGCAATAAATGTATTAGGAAGCTGACAAGGGGGCTGCGGGGCCCACAAAGAAAAGCGGTGCGGAGTTGGAGGCTAATCCCCCCTCCATCTGCCCTCCTCATTACCATTTAACGCACTATCAGTTGCCAATCAGCCTCAATGCCTCCCTTTCTAGTCTTTATTATATAGGCGCCCGCAAGAGCCCGGTCTAGTGACGGGGGCTGTCAGCTCCCCACCACTGCCCCCCTCCCTCTAAACCCCCTATTTTCCAGGGGTTTATAAACTCAGTTGTAAATTGCTATTAAATGTAACTCGCGGCAATAATGAACCTTAAGCTGCTTCTCGGCGCGGGCCCCCCCACCCCGCGCCCTCCCCTCGCCCCGGCTCTTTCTCTTCGCATCCTCCGCCGGGGTATTGGCCCGGGTCCGCCCGGCGAAGAGCCGACGTTGTCGGGGCCGTTGTTGGTGAAAGCTGCTTAGCCTTTGAAATAGTTAATAATTAGATTAAAACTTCAAATAAATTAACTAGGGGCTGAATGGGCTGCTGGAAGGAGGAGGGGGGGCTGCTCCTTGCAGGGGGATCGTTATAATGGAGCAGGGATGCTGGCGGTGGGGAGGGGGTGCCCCCTCCCAGCGGGGCTTCCCCCCCAGCCTGGGCTGGGCTCGCTGCTGCTGCCAGAATGGATGGTGGCACGGGGATGGCCGTGGCTGCTGGAGGTGGGAGATGCTGCCCAGTGTCCCCTCTCTGGTGAAGGCTCCGGGGCTGGGTCCTGCCATTCATCCCCGGGAATGTGATGGGGCGTCCCTGTCTCCTTCATTTAACATTGATAGTACCAATTCTGCTGGAGCATCTCCTCGGCTGTGACACTGAACAGGGTCACCTGTGTGTTCCCAGGGCCACCTGTGTGCCAACCTGCAGGAGAGAGACCCTGTGCCCACTACACCTCTTGATGGCTGTGGAGGGGACTCAGACCCCTTTCTGCTCTCAGAGGGGTGCCAGCAACCCCAGGGTCTAACCAGATCCTCTGCACAGAGCCCCATCCCCATCCTCATCCCTGATGCCATGGGTTCATCCGTGTGCCCCCACTCTGGAGATGCTCCTGGCTGCCAGGGAACTCTGGTCCTGGCTGGAAAGTTGGGTTTGTCTTTGGGGGACCAAGGCACAAGGGTCTGGCAGTAAGAAGACTCTTACCCCGCTCAAACTCGATCTCCAGCACATCCGGGGTGTCAGGAGAGGTGGCCGGATCACGGGTCTTCGTGTAGAGCCCGGGGGGAGCCTGATTCTGTGGGGAGAGGGAGAGAAGTGGGTGAGTCAGTGGCATTGCCATGGCCTACACTGCTGGCATTCCCAGCCCCAGACTGCATCCCATCATCCCCCTGCTGCATTCCACATCCCGAAGCGAATCCCCCCTCCCCGGGGTGCATCCCCCGTCCCAAAAGCGTACCCCACCATCCCAAAGCGCAGGACCAGGGCGGCACATCACCGGCGCTTACCGGGGCCCCGGGAACAAAGGGGCTGGAAGAATCAGCCAATTTTTCCCCTCAACTTGATCTCATCTTTTCCTCCAACGCCCCCACAGCTGGAGGCGGGATGGCTGCGGAGAAGCAAGTCAGGCAGGGAAAAGCGGGACGCTGGCAGCGAGCGGCGGGGCGGGCGGGTGCCCGCGTGTCCCCGCACCTCGGCCGGGCTCATCCGCCGCTGACCGAAAAAAACTAATGAGGAGCCCTGACCCCAGCAGGTGCTCCAGGCGCCACCGGCTCTTTCATGGTGCTCCCGGGGTTAATACACACGGGGGAAAATAGAGCGGCAAAGCAAAAACCCATTTCAGAGCACATCAACCTTTATGTATATTGTTTTTTTGTGAGATTTATAGGAAAGAGGCGTCTTATCTCCATCAGAGCCAGGCCAGCGGAGGCTCGGGCGCCGACGGTGAATTGCCGCAATTGAAGTGCGTGCCAGCAGAAGGGGGGGGGGGGGGGGAATATAATAAAAAAGAGCTCTCCGTCCCAGAGAGCAAATGCTTTGCAATTTCAGGTGCCCCCTCGGCACTCGCCCATGATGTGACTGCACTTGCTGACCCCAAAATACTTTCAGATCGGTGTTTGCAAACTCCTGTCTCCAAAGGGACTCCCCACCCAGCTGCAGCTCCAGGAGGTGGAGGGGAAACTGAGGCACGGAGCACCCCGGGCATGTGCAGCGTGGTGGAAAGGCAGGAAGCCTTTTAAAAGGTGGCAAACTGGTATTTGCCCACTAGACCCAGCTGGTGAGAGCTGGAGCTCTGGGAATTCCTGGGCAGTGGGGCCCTGTCTGCATCCACCCACCCACTGCTTGGCACACATGCCCTCTGTTCCTCCTCTCGTTTCTAAAGTACAGCTCTTCTCCTACTCACTTCAAAGAATACTTTGGGGTAGAAGGGACCTTTCAAGATCCCTTTTCCTCCCTTCTCTTCCTTTCCAGCATGGTAGAAAAAGACAAAGTATAAAGCAAGTCAGGGAAAAGAACTCCCCAAAATCCAACCAAGTGGTTGCTTTAAAAATAAAAAAATTAAGCTTTTTAGAAGAAAAATTAATTTCTCTGCAGAAGTTTTCATCTAAAACTTTCAAAGACAGGCAGTAAGAATTTTAGTGAAAACTTCCATCTATTTTTCTCCAAACATCTTTATATTTGCTGGAGCACTGCCAGCACCTGAGGGAAGCCCACCCAAACTGCAAGCACTCAGTCACCCCCTTCAAGGGTAACCCCCTTGCCTCACCCCAAGCCCCAGGGTGCACATCCCAACAGCATCCACAGCCGAATCCCGGGAATACAGACATAACTACCCAAGCATACGCTGCAGCAAAACTCCCCTCAGTTCCCATTTCATGCCATTTTTGCCCCTTTCCCTTCTTTTAAGGGAGAGGCGCTGGCAGGCAGGCGCATCTCCCTGTGCCCCTGCACACAGATTACACGGGCTGTGGATTTCAATTTTACATCGTCTGGCCTTTCCTAGCCCTGATCACACTTATTAACTAGATGAACCTGCGAGAGATGATGAAAAACTTTGAGTTCAAAAGGAAAAGATGGAGGAAGGGGGAGAAGAAATACCGGAAAGTATTAAAAACTCTTTACTAAACATTGGAAGTCAAAGTCAGGTAGTTTCCAATTTTCCGAGCCAACTATGAAAACCCCTATTAAATAAAATAACTAAATAGAAATAAAAGTGACATTTGGCTTGCATTCCATCATTACGGTGTGAGTCTGTCCTCTTTTTATTCTCTCTCCTAAAAGCACAGTTCAAATGACAAATAGTTTGTTGCAGTGTATCAATGCCTTCTATTTATCCCTCCCCGCAGGGGGGCTAGTCCTGCAATGTCATCTTTAAAGGGGAGAGAAAAAAAAAAAAAAAGGGGGGGAAAAAAAGAAAAAAAAAAAAAAGAAGAGGGTGTGGGGAAAGGGGGGGGGGGGGGGGGGGGAAGAAAGAAGCAAGAAAAACGGGGCAAGAAGAGAAGAAATTGGAAGCAAATGGTCCATGAAGTAAACCATGATGCAGAGCTATCGATGCCGCAAATGGTTTATTCATCCGGCTGATATTGTTGTGCCCGGGACTGAATGAACTCTTTCAGAGTGCCATATGAAGTTAAAGCAAGTAAATTTCTATCTTTCTCCGCATTAGCTGCCTCATTGCCCTTCAATCGGGCCTCACAGAGGCAGAAAATAGCTCAACCATCTGCTTTCAAATCCCTGCGTTTGGCAGGTCCCGGGGGTTTGGGGAGGGGAGCCCGCCGTGCCTGGCACCTCGGATCCTGCCACAGCCACCAGGTGCCCGGCACTGCTTCCCGGGCCGGGGAGGGGACACTGGTGACACCGCGCTCAGGGAAGCCACCTCCCAGCGCTGTCGGAGGGGGTGAGATGCCCAAGCGGAGGATGCTCGGGGACGGGGTCAGGGCACTGGTCAGCCCCGTTTTTCCAAGCTGGCTGTGGGAAGGAAGCGGGCTTGGCAGAGTCTGGGGACTGGGGGTCTTCCGCTAGAGAAGAGGAGAGGTGCTGGGTGCGGAGGGGTGGGTCGGGACGGGCGCGGGTCAGTCCCTTGCCAGCTCCAGCTAGAGGCACGAACACCCATCCCGGTGCCAAGCGCTCCCCTGGAGGAGAGGAGGCTCCACGGGAACCCGGCTTTGCAAAGCCTGACCCACAGACACCCCTCTGGAAGGCACCAAAGGGGGAGCGGGACCCCCTCTCCACCTTCCCCTTCCTTCCCCCGCCGGAGGCACGCGTCAGCCCAGCTGCGGGGAGCTGCGGGCGCCGAGCTCCAGCGGCTCCTCTCCCTCTCCTCCTGCCTCCCCCTCCTTCTCCCCGGGTTGTCTAATTAGCGCTGATGGATAGTTTAAGTAGCCGCCGAGCTCGGTGACCCCCTGGAGCATGAACAGCGCCGGCAGAGCCAGCGGGCGGCCGGACCACGAGCACTGCTCGGAGCGGCCGGAGGTGTTGCTGCGCTTCCAGCAGCACCTGGCAGCAGATCCCAGCACCACCGCCGGGCTCGTGGCCCCGTTGGGAGTCAGAACTGGTGGCCCTATGGATGCCCTCAGTGTCTCCAACACCTCACCCATCCAAGGGCAGGTTTTACCCCACAGAGAGCGGGGATGGGAAAGCGAGGAGGGCTGGGCGAGCTGCAGGGACCAGCCCGAACCTCCGTCACCAGCTCCGACTCTCCCACCAGCACCTCATCTGTCTAATTGCTCCTTTATTGCTGCCCCGCGACATTGTCCCCTCCAGTGTCACCCTGAAGCGGTCCCTTCCCCTATTCATGCCGGCGACAATTAACGTGCCGGGGGAGGCGGAGGGGCCGGGGCGGGCGGCGGAGCCTCCCCGCACACACGGACGGCCCCGCCGTGAAATTTCCAATTAGGCTGCAAACACACGAGACGCCCCCGGCCCCGTGGCTGCCACGCTGGCCGGGTGGCCGTGATCGATTACCTTGGGGTTCTCCAGGATCCCGGCTTCGTAGCTGCAGCAGGCAGGGAAGGAGGGAGAAGTTACTGTAGCACCTGCAAACTGCAACCCCAAACCCCACCGGGACGACAGCCCCACTCCCACCACCCCATGGATGGGAGTAAATACATGTTATGGATCTCCAGGGCATTTTAGCAGTAACCCTGCAAGGAGAACCAGGCTTGGGAGAGCCCAGGAGATGGATGCTGCCACATGGGTCATGGACAACTGGGCAGAAAGCCAGGCTGGAGGTTTCGGGGTCACCCATGGTGAGCAGGTCTGGGATGATGGAGGTGTGAAGGGCCTGAAGGATGGAGGGAATAGGGGCCCCAGACCCTGCGCCCTCACCCCACAGAAGCTCCCCACCTGCCTGGCCTCTCACCTGATGTGCATGAGGTTCTCATCCATGCTCCAGGGTGTCTGGGGTGTCACAGGCACCGGGATCCCATGTTTCTGCCAAGAGAATGAGAGTGGGAGTAAGAGAGCCTGTAGGGAATGCCAGGCCCCCCTAACACAATTTCCCACCAGGATCAGCCCCAAAAGCTCAAAGGCACAACCCATCATCACCAACGAGGCAGCACAGAACAAGCTGCACACCCGTGTCCCTGACCCCAGACAGCATTGGCTCCCACCACAAAGGCCACTTTGATGGGGACATCAGGGACACAGCGTGGATGGGAGGACAACGGCTGCCCCAGACCTGCCCCAGGCTGAGAAGGGACCCCAGAGCACCTGACCCCAGACCCTGAACCCCAGCAATGGGAACACCAGCATGGACATTGTGTTTTTCCTAGGTCCAGGTCCAAGATGGTGCATTCTCAGGCACATGGTGAGACAACGGGTTGTCCTGTGAAGGCCACGAGTTGGACTCAGTGATCCTTGTGGGTCCCTTTCAACTCAGGATGTTCCATGATTCTCCCAGCTGGGCTACTTAGCAAGGGGACGCAACAAGGACACAAATCCCCAAATCCACAGGATGCTCTGGAGGACTGATGCTCTGCCATGAGGGGACAGCAACACAAACACATGGCAAAGCAGCTGTGGAGGTGTCCCCCCCGAGCCTGGGCACCTCGAGCCCACCATGCCAGGGGACAGGCGGCCCCACACCGGCTGCCTCCCCGGCACAACGTGCTGCACCGAGCCCGGCTCCCTAACAAGGTCACTGGTGTGCTCAATTATCCACTGACATTTCAATGGAGGAAATTGCCTGTGAAGACGAGGTGAATACGCAGGGGAATTAGCAGGAGAGGTGACGGCAGCAGGCTGACAACTGGAGCCAGCAGGGACGTGTCCCACCCTGCTGGCACGAGGAGTTGGGATGTGCCGGCTGTGGGATGGCCATAGGGAGACAGGGGTGGAGATGGCAGCTCTGGGCTCCCACTGTGCCCTGATGTGTCTGTGTTCTGGCATGTCAGTGTCATCACAGCAGGGACATCAGCCAAGGGCTTGGCCAGGGACGGAGGAGCAGGGGCTGAGCAGAGGCTCCTTGTTTGCCGGGAAGAGAAGAAGGAAATGTTTGTGGTTGTTTCATCATAGTCCTCAATCCATCACCTGAGATGGGAACAAGGTTCTGAAATACCTTCTAAGGCTGCAGAGGGGCTGACTGGGCTCTGGTCCTGGGGGGACATTGCCTCAGGTCCTGATTTGCTGGTCCCACACCACAATTCCAGTGAGGGACCCCCTGGAACTTCCCTAACGTCCAAATCAATCTAAAACTTCCCTGGCACAACATGAGGCCATTTCTTCTTGTCCTATCACTTGTTATTTGGAAGAGGAGACAGACCATTGGCAGACTCATCTCACCTGAGATATACAAATGTATCTTTCCGACCTGAATAATAAGCCACCAGCCCCAGCTGATTTAGTTTCTCAGCCAGCCCTCTCTGCCCTCTGCCTCCTCCTGGCAGCCCATGCTCCCCAGCCCATCCTCACTCCATTTCAAAGAGGATCCTCTAAGTCCAGACCCACGTACCAACATTTACTGAGCCCAGGCAGCCTTGGCTGGAGCCAAAGGTGCCACAACCAAAGAGAGATCTTGTTCTCAGGCTCTGTCCCACCTGGCTCTGCCTGCAGCCATGGCTCACCCTGGAGCAGCACCCACGAGAGCTTCCCCCTTCTCATTAAGTTATTTCAGCCTCAGCTGGTTGTGGGCATGAAGCAGCCGCTGGCACAGGTTGCTGCCAGAGCAAAGCTGGCTCCAGCCCCTGGGCAGCAAATCCATGGCAAGAGCTGTGCTGCAGTGACACGGATCCTCCCTTTCCCTGGTACTAATGGAGTCCCAAATATCATTCCTCAAGCACCAAGGTAAGCACATCCAGGTGCTCAAAGGACCTGACCACACGTCTCCCTCTCCTAAGCATGCAAAAGAAGAGAACCCCCCCTTTTTTTTTTTAACACTAAACATAACCAGAGACTGAGAAGTACTGGGAACCCTCACCCCACGACCTTTCCTCTTGGAACTGGGCCCCAATCCATTTCGTTTCCCTTTCACCCTCCCCCTTCCAAACAAACAAAAAAAACCCCACGACCAAAACAAAACCCCCCAAACCCAAAACACGTGTTCCATTTTCCATATAATAAAACCGCGGCGCCCTTAATAACTCCCCTACTTGACAATTTGTTTGGCAACATATGGAAAGCTCTCGTAAACTCGCCCCTTCATAATACAACGGCAGATGGCAAACACAATCCTCAACACGCCACCCTCTCCTGGCGGCCCTAATGGGCTCGGAGGGCTCCTCACCCCACGGCCACATCCCTCCAGCTCCACACCTCGCCTTCCCAGAGATTACCCAGGCAGCTTCCACGGCAGCTATTTAAAAACTGAAGCAATTTTCTGGTTTATGCACAGAGCTGCCTTTTCCCTTTTGATTGATTGAGCCGAGTTGTCAAGCATTTCCATGAAGTCGCTTAAAAAAGAAAGGTACCCTGGTGGGCACATAAAAACCTGATGCAAAACTTCTAATATGTTTTATTGTAACTTGTACTTCAAAAAGGAAGGGACAACAAAGGTGAATGTGTTTGCTTTGTCTGCTGCTCAAGTCAGGGAGCTGGGACCTGTTTCCTTGGAAAGCAGGTTACCATTAATAGCCAGGTAATTATGGGGCTTTTAAAAAGGGAGGATGAAAAAAAAAATAGGGGCTGGGGGGGGGGGACCCCAATCAGAAGGCTCCAGTGTGGTGCTGGAGGGATGTTGTGCAGGGCTTGCTGCTGTTACCTGCCAAGCCATGGTGAGCATCCCGTGGCCATCCCAAGCTTCCTGTGGCCACACTGAGCATCCCACAGCTATCCCGAGCTTTCCACACCCACCCTGAGCATCTTGTGGCTTCTCTAAGCATCCCATGGCCACACCACACCAGCTCCTACCTTGGCATAATCCATCAGCTCCCGGCGCCCAGGGAAGCGCTGGTAAAACTCGGGCAGCCTCCACGGTGCAACAACCTGGTGGGAGGGCAGGAGCATGAGGTGAGAAGCCCCCAGCCCTCTTGTAGCCCCTGGGCCCCCTTTGCCCCTCAGAGACAGGGTGTTGGTCCCCCAGATGAAATTTAATCTCCCAGCACAAGGGTGGAGTATCCCAGACCCCTGGCCCTAACCAGGCACTTGATGCAGGGGGGAAACAGGCAGCATTGATTATCCAGCAGCTGCCTTGATACTGTTTCCTCTGTGGCCTCGTGGTGTTTGGGGTAAAAATAGGTCAATTAAGGATCATTACAGCCCCCTCAAATGCCAAAACGTTGCTGTGTGCAGCTGGTAGCTTGTTAAAGTGAGGCATGGCCCCTTGCCTCGGTGTTAAAACAGAATTCCCCACCAGCTGGGGAGAGGCCAGGAGCCTGGGGGTGGGATGATTTTAGGTGCCTTACCTTGATTTTGGGACACAGGGCATAGCAGGTGAGCTCGAACCGAACCTGGTCATTGCCCTGAAAAGTGAATGGGAGATGCTGAGGAGTCACCCCTCACTAGGGCGGGCTGGGAAGTGGGTGCCCCCCACCCAGATCCCACTGATGGGGGACAAGATCTCATTCCTGGACCGGCTCACACAGGGCCATACAGCATCCTCAGGAGAGGAATGTTGCCTGACAGGGACACAGGTTTGGATTTGGGGAAAGAAACGGCAAAATTAGCAGGAAATTTAAAAAAAAATAAAGCAGGAACATTAAAAGTGCAGATGACAAGTCAGCAGCTCCCGGCTCTGCTACAGCCCCAGGGCTTCATCCAGGGAACTGAGAGGCTCGGGGGCTGCTGGGCAAGCACGTGTGGCAGTGCACACGTGTGGTCGTGCACATATGTGTAACAACACACACATGCAGCCTCTGAGGTGCTGTTTGGCTTCAGTCACAGCTCCCTTGTGACACTGGAGACCTCAGGCACGGTGGGCAAGGATCCTCTGTCCCATGGGGTCTCTCCTGGTCCCTCTCCATGGCTTGTTTTAACCCCAAACCACCTTTCCTGGAGCTCCTGCTAGCTGGGCATTCAAAATCCCTGTGCAGCTCATTTACCAGGCTCCAAGGGAGACAGGCTGACCACAGAGTCACCCCAAGCCATGCTCTGCCCTGGGCTGACACTCCTGAAAGCTGAACCAACAGAAACCCAGATTCAGGTATTTTTCCCCCAAAGGCATCAAAGGACACATGGAGAGAGAGGGCAAGGTGGGAGAAAAGACCATGGTGAACAGGAGGATTCAGTAGCTCATAATTAATTAGCTCTGAACCTCCCTTTACCTTAATTGGCCCTTGCTGATGAGGTCCCACTAATGAGCCTAGGTAGCCAGGAAGGGGTGAGGAAGGAGGCTGGGAGTTATTAGCACCTCCAAGGGAATAGCACTCACCAAAGCCTATTTTCCACCCGCAACAAGGGGCAAACAGAGCCCCCCTTCCCTCCTATAGGTCCTGGCCTGAAGGATACATTTACAACCGGCCTGGGAATTCCCTAAGGACTATTACACTCAGGCGAGTACATCCACCAAAGTACTCATTTCCCTTACAGGCCCAAAACACGTCCATCTGCTCCGGCAGCGGGGACACCCCAGATGGTCCCATTTAAGACGCCGCAGCCGGGTCGAGTTACCCGCGGTCGGTCCCTGCCCGTGCCCGCAGCTTAATGGCTTGGGAAGCAGGAGCCACCGAAGGTGTCCCAGCCAGCGGGGACGGCTGGTGGCACCCGGGAGCAGAGGGGACGTCATCTCGTTGTGGGTGTGTGACTCCACGGCACCCTTTAGTGGGGGCTTTCGAGAGGGGGCTTCTGGGGATGGGGGAGATGGACGGGAAAGGGGTGCAAGGACCCCACCGCAGGAGGAGAGAGAATTATTTCGTTCATAAAGCCCCCCTAGCTGCCTCTCTGCCCCATCTCCTAGGTGCTGGCACGAACCTCGACAGCCTCCCGGCTGCACCTAACATCCCCCTCCTAAGCAAGGTCCTCTGCATAGCTGGGGACCCCCAAACCCAGCCGCCCCAAACTCACTGTGACCCCTTGAGGGGGTCACCTCGCCTTGCCCCTAGGCCACGATGGGCACGGGCTGTGCTTTGGGTCCCCGTGGGAAGGGAGGAGGAGGTACTGGGCAGGACCTGGGTTCACCCACTGAGCCCTCACCTGCGCCAGGTGGCCCCGCCCGGGCTGGGCAGCGTGCTGGCAGCGGCTGGAGATGCCGGGCGTGGCCCACGGTCACGGCTCGCAGGTTCCACGCCCCCGCCACGCTCCCCGCGGGCGATTCCCCCTCTCCGGGGCAGGGACTGGCCCCGAGCATCTCCTTTCTACGGTCTCTGGCTGCCTCTAGCGGCAAAGTGTCGTCCCTGCGTCGGCGGAGACAGCGGGGATGGGGACAGGGACCGGGACAACCGGGATAAAGACAGGAATAGG